GCAGCAGCTCCAGCACCTCCGGCGGCTCCAGGACCCTCAGCAGCGCCAGCACCTCCAGCAGCTCCAGTACCCTCAGCACTAGCTCCACCTGAAGTGGCACCTCCAGTCCCAGGGCTCTCCAGCTGCAGTGCCACCAGCAGCAGCACCCTCAGACACAACACCGCCAGCCCCAGCAGCTCAGTACCCCTAGTACGAGCACCTCCGGGTTCAGCGACACCGGCACCTCCAGCAGGCAAAGGACCAGCACCACTGCCAGCTCTAGTGACGCCAGCAGAAGAAACCCCAGGAGTAGAGCCCTGAGGTGTAGAAGCGCGACGCTGACGGCGACCGTACCAGTCGTGCAGCTGCAAGGAGGTGAGAGGCACACGCGGACGAAGATGACTACTCCAAGGAGACCGCGTAACAGCAGTCTCAGAACCCTCAGGCGACTCACCCCCAGAACCCTAAACCCCCACGCTCCGCACACACAGGCTTCAGCACCCCCAGATGCAGCACCCCCAGACGCAGCACCCCCAGGCTCAGGACCTCCTAGGCTCCTCACGTGCAGGCTCAGCACCTCCAGGCTCCGCACCCTCAGGCTCCTCACGCTCAGCTCCCCCAGACTCAGCACCCCCACGCTGCGCACCCTCATGCTCCACACCCCCAGGGACAGCACCACTCCCAGTAGGACTGGAGTCACCAGTGACCTCAGCAGGCGTAGGGACGGGAGGGTCTACCTGAGAAACACCTGAAGGAGCAGGACCCGGCGCGGGGAGGGGGTCTACCTGGGGAAACCTGGGGCGAGAAATAGCGGTGGGGGGGGGGGGGGGGGGGGGGGGGGGGAAGAGCAGTGCGGTAGGGGAAAAGACGGTAAAAGGGGACCAACTCGTCAAAGGTGACGTCCTGAGACGCAAAGACACGGCGCGAGGCGGGGTCTTAAAACTCCCAGCCAGGCGCATCAGGGACAACTCCAAGGAAGACGCAAGGAATGGCGCGAGGGGAGAGCTTGTCCGCGGTGGTGTCGCGGACAAAGGCACATGCATCCTAGACCCGGAAACGCGACGCATCGCCAACCTTCCCCGTCCACAGCAGTGTGGGCGAGGTCTCCGGCAACGAGACATGGGGCCAAAGGTTGAGCTGATGCGCGGTGTACCGAACCGCAAACGACCATAGAAAATGGGGGGCAGCCGCATGGATCATGGAGGTACGAGCGACCTCCATGACTAAGCCAATGCGGCACTCAGCAACCCCATTCTGTTGAGGAGAGGCCGGAAGCGTGAACGTCTGCTCAATGCCGTGCTCCGCACAGTAGGCTGCCAAGAGGTCTGAGGAGAACTCACCACCTCTGTCAGAGTGCAGACGCAGGACAGGAAAGTCCGACTGGAACTGCTCGCGGAGCTGGAGACGAGCAGCGCGGGTCCAGGGGATCAAAACATCAGGGACATCCCCCTTGCGCTGCAAGGGGAAGACCGTGGTGTAACGCGTGGAGTCGTCGACGACTAGCAGGAAGTACCGCTCGTGGCCCTGTCCACGGACGCGGGCTGGGCCCCACACATCCAGGTGGAGAGTCTGCAGTGGAGCCTCTGTGGGAGGGAACAAGGAGGAGTGAGGAGCGGCGCGCTGCCGCCCCTCGACGCAAGGAATGCAGGGCGGCGCAGGCGAGGGAGGGAGGGCAGGCAGAGACCTGGGAAGACCAGAGACCAGGAAGCGAGAGTGCCTGCTATGAAGGCGAGGCAGGGAGGGGTGACCAAGGCGGTGGTGCCACAGGAGAGTGTCATGCGACAGCCGGCGACACTTACACTGGGTAGCTACCTTAGCAGACGCGTGCAGCTGGGGAGACAAAGGGGTGGAGCGCGACGCAGTGGTGAGGGTGTACAGACTGGACCCTGGCGTACAGGTGAACATGGCCAGGTGGCGGCCGGTCCGGGAACACGTGCAGATCACCACACGCTGCCGACCAGGGGTGAAGGTGTCAACCCCCGCATCCTAGAGGACAGCGTTGCTCACCAAGTTCGTAGAGAACGAAGGGAGGTGGAGACCAGACAGCTCACCAGACGGGACTGCCGGACACGGAAGCACAGTGGAAGACCGTGCAAGCACTGGGCCCCCAAAGGGGTTAGGCAGTGAGACAGGAACAAGTGCAGGGAGGGGAGGGACTGTGGTATTGTCGCGCAAGAAAAAGCGGGAAGCACTAGAGTTAAGTGTAAAGGTGTGCAAGGCCCGTGCAGGCGCAGTACCAGGGGGGGCAGACTCACAAGCACCTAGTGCTGCAGGGGCTATACCAAGGGCTATACCAGGATCCAGCGGCACACACAAGTAGCAGTCACCCTCAGCACTAACAGTCAATGCATACATAGCAGCAAGAATTGCCTCATAGTCAAGATCAAAGATAGGTACATCACACCTAAGCAGGTCTGCCGAGTTGGGGAACTCAATAGCATCAAGAAACTTGGCGCGCCAGGCGTCGCTAAGCCGAGTGAAGCAGCGCTGCTCAATGTGAAACCCTGTGCATGGGCGACCAGCGCGGGGACCTGTGCGAATGATATAGGGGCAGTGACCAGGACCCCCAGAAGCCCCACGCCCGGCATACCAGTCAAGAAGCTACTGGGAAGTGGGGGTCTGGCGCTGACGCTGCTGCTGCTGCTGCTGCGACTACTGATGGCCCTGACCACCACTGCCACCACCGCTCCCTCCTCCCCCACCGCCGCTGCTGCCACCTCCACCGTTCCCAGTGCCTCCGCCGCCCCCACCACCACCTCCACCACCTCCACCCCCACGACCACCTCCACCACCTCCACCTCCCCCGCCGCCTGCACCACCGCCACCTCCACCACCACCCCCACCTCCCTTGCCACCCTTGCCGCCCCTGCCGCTGCGTCGCTTCCCACTAGGAGCGGAAGCAGCCCCGACCTCCTCAGCGCCAAGGTAGTCGCGAGCAGCAGCTGCGGAGGCGTAGGAGGGGGTGAGAGGGGAGGGGGAGCACCCCTCAAAGAGGGGAGAGCGAGGAGTGCCACGAGCAGCACCTATAGCGAGGATGTTCTTCTCTACTGCGAGGAGGTGCTTCTCGAAGTCGTTGACAGTGAGAGTGGTGGGGTCTAGCGCTAGGAAGTGGTCCCTGACGGAGCTAAGAGTGTCAGGGAGGCAGGTGACGAGGAAATAGAGAGTGAAGTACATCGGGGGGGGGGGGGGGGGGTTGCGGCGCAGAACTCGGCTGAAAGGGCGGCACGAAAGCGAGTGTCAGTAGCGCGCAGGTGGGAAATGAGGTCCTCAGCAGTGGTGAACGAGGTAAGGTCGGGGAACAGGTAGGGTAGCATGAGCCGACCTATGGCTGCAGTGGCCGGGGAGGAATAGCGCGCAACTACAGCGTCGTACAGTGTCTTAGAAGTTTTGTGCTGGCTGAAATGTGCGCGCTCAGTAATCTGTAGATGGTTCCTAATAGCTAAGCGCGCAGCAGCATCGCGACTCTGCCACCGCGAGCGTTCGAGAGCAGGAGCATCGGCAGCAGGAGCAACGGCAGTGCCAGACACGTAATCGAATAGTGAAACGCCCTCTTTGGCATCGGTCCACACAGCGAACTCTATGGGGCGACCGTCAGGCTCGAACGCGAGAACATTAGGCGTCGTCATAACGGTAGCAGGCAAAGGCAGTAGGCAGCAGACAGTAGACCGCTGGCAAAGACAGAGGCAGCAGGAAGCAGACAGCAGGCAAAGACAGAGGAAGTAGGCAGCAGGCAGGAGGCAGCAGGCAAAGGCAACACAGGCAGCTTGCAAGGCAGTAGATGGCCGCACGCGAGCTCCTAAGGTGGCGCGCTAGGCAATAGCAGGCCGCGCGCACTCCTAAGGCAGCAGTCTCGGTAGCAGCGGGCCACGCCGGCGGCCGACGCGACTCGCAGGGCAGCAGCGAGCTGCGCGGGCGGTGGACGCGGCGCGCGACGCAGTAGTGGGCCGTGCTGGCGACAGATGCGGCGCGCGGGGCCTAAGCGGGCTGCACGCGACGGCGGGCTGCGCGCGGCAGCGGGCTGTGCGGGCTCGAAGCGTGGGCTGCATTAACGGCAGGCACGCATGCAGTGAGGCCGTAGGTGAGGTAACTAGGTTACAGATGGGCCCTATTCTTAGGTCCTATAGACCTACTGTTCAAGATGCCATGTTGAGACTTAGGCAGGAATGATGTGATTAGGTCAAGGTTGGGGTACAAGACTAGAGTGTCGAGAATGTTTCTGTACCCCATAAGGCTAGCCCCAATATAGCCTAGATACTAATATGCAAATGTTTTGACAAAATGAACTCCAACCCACGGTTTTTGTAGTTGGAGAAGGGCGTTTATGCGCGCTTCGACGATGCCAATTGTGCAGTACAAGCAGCTTCGCTTTCACAATACACAATTTAAAAAAACACAATGTGTGTTTAAAAATTATAATTTTGCTTTAGTGAAACCCCTCTTTGGCTAAACTCTCTCGACATGCTCCTCCCCTCCTACCCCAAACCCTAGCTATGGCTACTAAGTTCTATCTACTACTTTGACATGTTCTGGCAATTCGGCTCCACGAAACATGCCAATTTTTTGCATGAGCTGGTTTCTGTAATCAAGTTTCAAGGACACTTTTAAGATCTCGCCTAAATAGATGTCCTAGTTAAGAACCTTTTAAGATATCGCCTCTCGTAAATTTGGTGTTGACCTACTCTCAGTTCGTAAGGACGCGTGTAATGAGTACCGGTATTCCCTTTGTAGGCGTCTTCATCAAGAAAGTTGTACCGATAACTACAGTGATTTGATTCGGTGTGCTACCTAGCTAGCCTTCCGTGTGTCTCGGAAAAGAAGCACACCCTTAGAGTTTCCAGCAACACCAACGGGCATATTCAGCAGCGGATGCTGTGCGACTCGACTCGCACTTACTTCGAGAGCACCGTCGCGAAACCTGCGTCGTGCCCTCTTCCTCCATTTAGGCCGTCGTTTTGCTTCCACAGTCATCGCTCACGCCCGGGTGATTGTACGAGTTCAGTCCGGTAGAGTCACGCACGCTGATGGGCCGCCCGGGAGGCCGTTTCGCGCCACGTGGTCCGCCACGTGGCGGTCCGTCGCTGCCCTTCTCCTTGCAGCAGCAGCTTCAAGAGCCCGATGATGACGATGATGACGTGGCGCTTTCTGGTAGGCCGCTCCGAGTAGATTCCTCGTCGGCACCAACTACTAGTCCATAAGTACGAGTTTATGACTACTAATTAATGACTAACAGTGTACGACTACTAATACATGACCGCATTGCAGTGCGAGGTGATCGAATCATTTCGATCTGATTCTGCCCAATTTTTTCGAAACCGAGGCTGTTTTTGGAGAATACTGAACATATTCAGGTTTCCGGGTTGTAGACTCTTAAATATCAAATAGGCCGCGAGACGCCGCAATACCTTTTTCCTCTTTTCCCCCTCGCCCCCTGCAACCACGCAGACGACGAGTGCAGGGTTTCGGGTTTACCGCGCAAGAAGGGTTTATCGCGGAAAGAGCAGCGACGGCAGCAGCGGCAGGAGAAGCAGCAGAAGCGACAGGAATGGGCGCAGCAGCGCGTGGGGGGACGGAAGGCGGGGAGCGCAGGGGAAAACGCGGGGGGCGCGGAAGCAGGCACATGGGGCGGGAAGGGAGCAGATGGAGCAGGAAAAGGGGGTCAGGCGCAGGCGAAGGGGGAAAGCCATGGCGGGGGGAAGGTTCAAGCGGAGGGAGCAGGTGCCCGGGGGAGAGAGGGCCAGGGGAAGGGGTCGGGCGGAAAGCAGAGTGCAACGAAAGAGGCGGGTCGGATGGGACAAAGCGGCACTGTAGCAGCGGGAAAGAGCGGAACGGCCGCTGTTGGAGGAAAGAGAAAAGCGGCGGAGGTGGCAAGTGGAGAGGGGATAGAGATGTTGGCGGGTGCTGTGGGGAAGGGCACGGGGACAGGAGCGCGAGAGGCGGCAAGGGGTGGAAAGACAGAGGGGGTGCAAGCAGGGACGAAAGAAGATAAGAGCAAAGGGAAGAATGTAGGAAAGGAGGGGAAGAGAGAGGGAAAGAGTGGGGAGGAGAGAGAGGGGAAGAAGAGGAAAATGACGAACTTTGAGAGGCTGTTAGAGATGGAAGAGAATGGAGGGATGACTGTGAGAGAGGAGGAGGAGGAGGAAAGGATGCTCGCCAAGAAGCTGAATGTGAAGGGCGGGGTTTTGCCAGGGTCTAAGGACGGTTTGGAAGGGTTTCTAGGGTTTGGGGGGAGTGATGAGGAGGATGGATGGGGTGGGATGGGAGGAGGTTTAGGGGATTCGGAAGATGAGGAGGAGGATGAGGAAGGGGAGGGTTCAGAAGGGTTTAGTGGGGAGAATTATAGTGAGGATGGGATGGAGGATGGAGAGGAGGAGGGCGAGGAAGGGGAGGAAGAAGAGGAGGGAGAGGAGGGAGAGGAGGGAGAGGAGGGAGAGGAAGGGGAGGAGGGAGAGGAAAGGGAGCAGGGAGAAATAGAGGAGGATGAGGAAGAGGGGTCACTGGGATTGTTTGAAGAGGATGGGGTGTGGTCAGATGATGGAAGCGAGGAGGGAGAAGAGGGGGAGGAAGGAGAGGAACTAGGAGAGGAAGAGGAGGGAGAGGAGTGGGAAGAGGAGGGAGAGGAGGGTGGAGAAGCAGCAGCGGAAGGAATGAAGCGCATGAGTGCGCTGGCGAATCAGAAAGTAGGCGAGGGGGGCAAGTACGTACCGCCTCATTTGAGACAAGCGGCGGCAGCAGGAGGAGCAGGGGACGAGGACGATGCTGCAGAGAGGCAGCGGGTGATCCGACGGCTAAAAGGTGAGCGTGGCATGATCGGACGGCTGAGAGTTAACAGACAGAAGCAACAGAATTAGTAGAGCATGAGTGGCAATAAAGGAAGAAGAGGAAGGTTTGCAGCAACAGCGTTTCGATGGCTGAGAATCGTTCGTGTTCTTTGTTTGTTTGTTTGTTGATCCAACGGCTTGCATGTGAACTCCACATGGGATTAGGAGAACGACTTTTGAGAATTCTCAAAAGTCGTTCCATTAGGAGAGAGGCATGCGAGAGGTTGACAATGCCATTGCGTTTACACCACAATGTAGCCCTCTACATTGTGAACCACAATGTGAACCTTTTAGAACGGATATAAGGTTTGTAGAGTTACAATCTGACCTCTTGGATTGCTCCCACCACAGTGTCACACTATTCCCCACTGCACCGCTCCCCACCACTCCCCACCACAATGTCTTCCCCCACTCACTGTTGCCGCTCCATCCACTCCGTCTCTCTTCCCCTCCCCCTTCTGCAGGCCTCCTTAATCGTCCCTCAGAGTCCAACGGGGATGTCATCGCGCTCCTGAGAGGAGAATGTCTCACGGCCCCTCCTCCTTTCTGTCCCCATCACATCCCTCTTCACTTCCCCTCCCTCCTCTCCTCCTCTCTGTCTGCAGGCCTTCTGAATCGCCTCTCAGAGTCCAACGTGGATGCAATCAGCGCTGACGTCAGCACCCTCTTTCAGGTCAGCTCGTCGATTCGCTTCTAGACAAACCTCCCCTCGTGCATCTTCTGGCATGCTATGGCATGGCATGGTGTGGCAAACTCTTGCATGCTATGGCGTGGCGTGGCGTGGCGTGGTGTGGCAAGCTGTCGCATGGCACGGCACGGCATGCACCAACACACCACGTGGCAAGCAATGAGCGGTGCTGTTTCCCCCGTGCTTCACGGTTGCACTTCGTCACAGTCGCTTCACGGTTGCACTTCGTCACAGTCGCTTCACGGTTGCACTTCGTCACAGTCGCTTCACGGTTGCACTTCGTCACAGTCGCTTCACGGTTGCACTTCGTCACAGTCGCTTCACGGTTGCACTTCGTCACAGTCGCTTCACGGTTGCACTTCGTCACAGTCGCTTCACGGTTGCACTTCGTCACACCCGCTTCACGGTTGCACTTCGTCACAGTCGCTTCACGGTTGCACTTCGTCACAGTCGCTTCACAGTTGCACTTCGTCACAGTCGCTTCACGGTTGCACTTCGTCACAGTCGCTTCACGGTTGCACTTCGTCACAGTCGCTTCACGGTTGCACTTCGTCACAGTCGCTTCACGGTTGCACTTCGTCACAGTCGCTTCACGGTTGCACTTCGTCACAGTCGCTTCACGGTTGCACTTCGTCATAGTCGCTTCAGGGTTAGGTACTTATTTTCTTTAATTATGCTGAAGGTTAGTTCACTAGTTTGTTTTATGGTTTGTATGTATTTGCTTACATTATAATAGTGTAGACAATAAGGGTTGGGTTATATTAGTTATAGGGTGCCCCCTGAGTGACTTTATCAAGTGCTAGGCACCCCAAATTCGGCTTTGGGGCACCCCAGCACGTTTCCCATCCTTGGGGACGCGGCTCCAGCCTGGACCCACGAATTTCAACATTGGAAACGCGGCTCCAGCTTGGAATTCGCGTTTCCAATTCGTGGAATCGCGGTTCCACTAGAGGGGGCGCTTCCAGGCCCAATTTGAGGGTCCCTCACGTCCCCATCTTAACTGTGGGCGACTTGAGCACCCATTTGGCCACCCCAAGTCCCTTGGGTACCAAATTCCTCATCTGGACAAGCCCAAGTCGCCTCCAAGCTAGCTCTCTTCACTTTCTGCCTATTTTAGCTTTTGTTTTGCTTGTATTCATCACTTCAGTTAACTTTCTGTTTGTAGACCTTTTTCAACATCTCAGAACCAGCTTCTCCTTGTGCACATTGTGCACATAGGTCTAATTTTCTACATGATATCAGAGCTATAGCTGAGCCTCCGTTGGTCAGCCTCTACTGCACTACAATAGACCTTTTAGAAACATTGCTGGTTTTCCTCCATATTTATGGACCATTGGCTATACTTCGTTTCCAACGCTTAGCCATCAAATAGCCGTTTTTTTTTGTTCATCTTAACTATGGCTACAGTGGACAGTCATTTGGGGAGGCTCACTTTGCCCTCCCTCCTCCCCGATGGCTCCAACTTCAATCATTGGAAGCGGATGGTGGTCCTCACCTTCCAAATTGAGGGCATCGTCGACGCTCTTGGTGATTCCGCGCTCACATCCTCATCCGCCTCTTCCTCTACCAATGCTCCGGCCTCCACGGCAGATGCTGCGCCGGCAGCTCCATCCAACCCGGCTCGCCCGGCTGCTACTACCCCTGCCCTTGCAGCAGCAGAACAAGAACAGCGAGCCTTGCTGTACCTTCTCTCCACGCTTCCCACGCAGCTCTCGATGTCTATTTCTCCAACCGAGACCGCTGCCGGGTTGTGGGCTCTTCTCAACAAGAAATTTGCCAAAACCGGCAATCAAGCTCAATTCGGCTTGCTGCGTCAGCTCTTCTTTGTCCGCATGGACCCTGGCCAGCCTGTCCGTGCCTACTTTGACCACGTTCGCGGTCTTGACCTGCAACTCTAGACCAGCGGCTACAGTCTACCCTCTTGGGTGACCATCACGTCTATCCTTTTGGGTCTTCCTCGGTCTTACAACACGCTTACTGAAACGCTTTGCTCGGTCAAAGAAATAAAGGATATGACCCTTGAGTGGCTCGAGGGACGTCTCGTGGATGCTGAGTGGGACCGTGCAACAAAGAATTCGTCGCTCCCTGCTGATGGTGCTTATGTCGTTCAACCTGGACCCTCCAAGCCTCATTCCAGCACCTCTACCACTTCCTGCCGCTATTGCAAGGCTGCTGGTCACGCCATCACCACTTGCCCTCAACTCGAAAAGAAGAAGCGCAGGCAGCAACTACAGCAACAACACCAATCGCCATACTTGCCGCAGTCTGCATACCAGCCACAGTCGCAACCGTACCAGCCCCAACAGCCACAGCAGATGCCGTTCCGTTCCTTCTCTCAAAACTCGCCCAACAAGGCAGCTGCACACACCGCCCTCCCACCTCTGGCATATCCTGCCCACCTGGCCCAACCTCTCCTTCCCTCTCCTACCTCTGACGTTACCTCACCAGCACTCGCGGCTTCTCATTTGTCATCCACGCCACTGTCATCTTCGATTGATTCTCGCTATGCCGATGTCGCCGCCGCGCACTTACTCCCTACCTCTTGGCTGCCGTCCCTCCCATCGCTACTACTCCTCATCTCCTTTCTCCTCTGCCTTTTCTCCATCCTGCTCCAGCGGCCTCTCGCCTCCGTCCTCACCAGCTCTCCTTCTTCCTCCTCCTGGCTCCTTGACTCCGGCGCATCCTCGCATCTCTGCAATGATCCTCATCTATTTTCCTCCCTCCGTCAACCATTTCCTGGTAGTGGCGTCCGGTTTGGTGGTGGGGAGCAGTACCCTGCCCACGGCATTGGGGACATTCTTGTCTACGCCCGTCACAACAACCATACCCATCCTATCACCCTGAAGGATGTCCTATACGTTCCCCAGACTGTTCATAATATCATCTCTGTTCGTAAGCTGAAAGACGAAGGACTCACTACCCACTTCCCTCTTCATGCTCGTGCCGAAGTGTTCCGAGGCTACACGGTTCTTGCTGTCGCCCATGAGCACATGAAGTTGTTCTTCGTTTCTCTCAGCCCTGCCTCATCTTCGCAGCCGGCCACGGTCTCAACTGCATCAGCACCTCCTCCTCTTGTTCCCGCATCCTGCTCTGCAGCTTCATCTCTTCTTTGGCATCGGCGATTCGGACATCTCAACGGACACAGCTTGCAGCAGCTTCATTCCAAACAGATGGTCAGCGGCATCAGCCTCAACGGTTCCCTACCTTCCACCTGCATTTCGTGCCTTCGTGGGAAGCAAACCCGCCAGCCATTTCCAGACTCTACCTCGTCCAGCTCAGCCCCACTTGACCTGGTTCACACTGATGTCGCTGGACCATTTCCCATCGGCACCACGTTTGGCGGCGCCACCTATCTCCTCACATTCATTGACGATTACAGCCGCTATACCACTGTCTACCTTCTCAAATCCCGCTCTGAAGTCTTTAGCACATTTCAGCGCTATCTCGCCCAAGCCGAAAGCCACTGCAAGACACATCTCAAGGTCTTGCACTCCGATGGCGCCCCGGAATATCTTTCCGACGCTTTTCAAGCTTTCCTCGCTTCGCGTGGCATCACCCGACAGGTCTCTACACCATACACCCCGCAACAAAATGGTGTCGCTGAGCGGATGAATCGCACCATGCTTGACATGGTGCGGTGCATGTTACATGACAGCGGTCTTCCTCGTGGGTGGTGGGGAGAAGCAGCCCTTACTGCTGCATATATTCGCAATCACTCTCCTTCTCGCTCACTCCCTCGCGATGTCACGCCTATGGAATTATAGACAGGTCAGCGGCCGGACGTCACCCATTTTCGCGTGTTTGGATGCCTTGTCTCCGTGCTTCTACCTACTCTTTATCGAGAATCCAAGTTACATGACCGCAGTGCTCCCGGCATCTTCCTCGGCTATGGTCTCCTTGATGGTTACAAAGCATATCGCGCTTATATCCCCTCCATCCGCCGGGTTGTTTACTCTCGGGATGTCACATTCCTTGAAACCTCCCCCTCAACTCCCCCTCACCCGCCACCACCTCTACCATCACCCCCTACTCCCGCACCTGTCACTTTGTCACTTCACCCGCCTTCCCAACCTACCTCCTCACCAGACCCTATCAATCCTCCTCCGCTGCCTGCTACACACGCAGAAACCTCTCCCTCTGCTACTCCGTCTGCACCTCTCTTTCCCACACTCCCCACCCCTCCCTTCCAGCCTTTCACCCTTCCCACTTCCCTTCAGAAGCCAGCCTCCACACCCACTTCCTCACCTCTTCTATTTCCTCCTCTTCCAACCCCGACTGCCCAAGACTTTCAGCTCAACTTCTCTGACCCCTCTGTTAACACCATCCTTGACGAAGATCGCGAGTCAGCCCATTTTTTTCACGACTTTGCCTTCATTGCTCTTCATTCCCACTACGAGCCACCTACAATTACTGCTGCCCGCTCTTGCCCCGCTGCTCCCCAATGGCTTGCTGCTGCTGACGCTGAAATTACTGCACTCCTGGCCAACCGCACTTACAGCGTTGTGCCCAAACCGCCCGGCTGCACTCCTATCCCTTGCAAATGGGTTTTCAAGGTCAAAGAGAACCCGGATGGGTCCATCGAGCGCTATAAAGCCCGTTTGGTCATTAGAGGCTTCAAGCAACGTAAGGGCATTGACTACACTGAGACATTTGCACCCACCATTCGTTTTGCTACGCTTCGCTTGCTCCTCACCCTTGCTGCTGCCCTTGATCTTGAGATGCATCAACTCGACATCTCCAATGCCTTTCTCAATGGCGACCTTGACGAGATTATTTACATGATCCAACCACCCGGTTTTGAACTCCCTCTTGCTAACGACTCTCCTCAGGTTTGCCTCCTGCACAAGCCCTTGTACGGCCTCAAGCAGGCTCCTCGGTGTTGGTACAAAAAACTGAAATCGGAGCTTCTCACATTTGGCCTTCACACCTCCGCTGCCGACCCCGGACTTTTCATTGCTGCACCCTCCTCACCTCTTCTTCCACATCCTTCCCACTTCTTCCTTGTCCTAGTCTATGTCGACGATCTCATCATCCTTTCCACCACCATCACTCCCCTTACCACCTTCAAGACTTCTCTGTCCACTCGCTTCAAACTTCGTGACCTTGGCCCATTAACTTATTACCTCGGCCTCCACTTAGACCGCGACCGCTCTTCTCGGACCCTCCTCATCCACCAATCCAAATTTATTACTGCACTCCTCTCTACCTTCAATCTCAGCCACGCCAACCCCAGCCACACCCCCATGGACTCTAAGCTCCTCCTTCCGACACGCTCTTTATTGCCACCCTCTGAACCCTTCCCATATCCCTCTTTGGTCGGCTCTCTCATGTACGCAATGATTACCACTCGCCCTGACATAGCCCATTCTACTGGACTCCTTTCACGTCACCTCCATTCTTGGTCGGATCCTCATTGGCTGGCTGCTAGACGTGTTCTCCGTTACCTCAACGGGACTTCTTCCCATGGGCTGCTTCTTGGTGGCAATCCCGCCTCCCTCCAGCTGGTCGGGTATTGTGATGCCTCATGGGCTTCCGAAAGTGAGGATCGTCGTTCCCTCACTGCATACCTGTTTTTTCTGGGACCTTCTCTGATTTCTTGGCAATCCAAGCGGCAATGTGTGGTTGCGACATCCTCTTGTGAAGCTGAATACTACGCGCTCGGTGCGGCAACCCACGAAGCCCTTTGGCTCCTTACTCTCCTCTGCTCTCTCGGCCTTCCCCCCACTGGTCCCACCCCGCTGCTCTGTGACAACACTAGCGCCATTGTCTTGGCAAAGGACGCTGGTGTTTTCCATGCCCGTGCCAAACACATCGACATCCGCCACCATTTCCTCCGTGATCATGTTGACAAAGGGCATATCTCGCTGCACTACATCCCTAGCCGTGATAACCTTGCTGATTTGGGGACCAAGCCTCTCCCTCGTGACACACTTCAGCGTCTGCAGTCCTGCATCGGCCTTCGCCCTGCTACTACTTCTTTGATCTCTCCCTCGGTGTCACCCTAAAGGGGGGTGTTGTTAGGTACTTATTTTCCTTTAATTATGCTGAAGGTTAGTTCACTAGTTTGTTTTATGGTTTGTATGTATTTGCTTACATTATAATAGTGTAGACAATAGGGGTTGGGTTATATTAGTTATAGGGTGCCCCCAGAGTGACTTTATCAAGTGCTAGGCACCCCAAATTCGGCTTTGGGGCACCCCAGCACGTTTCCCATCCTTGGGGATGCGGCTCCAGCCTGGACCCACGAATTTCAACATTGGAAACGCGGCTCCAGCTTGGAATTCGCGTTTCCAATTCGTGGAATCGCGGTTCCACTAGAGGGGGCGCTTCCAGGCCCACTTTGAGGGTCCCTCACGTCCCCATCTTGACTGTGGGCGACTTGAGCACCCATTTGGCCACCCTAAGTCCCTTGGGTACCAAATTCCTCACCTGGACAAGCCCAAGTCGCCTCCAAGCTAGCTCTCTTCACTTTCTGCCTATTTTAGCTTTCGTTTTGCTTGTATTCATCACTTCAGTTAACTTTCTGTTTGTAGACCTTTTTCAACATCTCAGAACCAGCTTCTCCTTGTGCACATTGTGCACATAGGTCTGATTTTCTACACAGTCGCTTCACGGTTGCACTTCGTCACAGTCGCTTCACGGTTGCACTTCGTCACAGTCGCTTCACGGTTGCACTTCGTCACAGTCGCTTCACGGTTGCACTTCGTCACAGTCGCTTCACGGTTGCACTTCGTCACAGTCGCTTCACGGTTGCACTTCGTCACAGTCGCTTCACGGTTGCACTTCGTCACAGTCGCTTCACGGTTGCACTTCGTCACAGTCGCATCACGGTCGCACTTCGTCACAGTCGCTTCACGGTTGCACTTCGTCACAGTCGCTTCACGGTTGCACTTCGTCACAGTCGCTTCACGGTTGCACTTCGTCACAGTCGCTTCACGGTTGCACTTTGTCACAGTTTCTTCATGGTTGCACTTTGTCACAGTCTCTTCATGGTTGCACTTCGTCACAGTCTCTTCACGGTTGCACTTCGTCACAGTCTCTTCACGGCTGCACTTCGTCACAGTCGCTTCACGGTTGCACTTCGTCACAGTCGCTTCACGGTTGCACTTCGTCACAGTCGCTTCACGGTTGCACTTCGTCACAGTCGCTTCACGGTTGCACTTCGTCACAGTCGCTTCACGGTTGCACTTCGTCACAGTCACATCACGGTCGCACTTCGTCACACTCGCTTCACGGTTGCACTTCGTCACAGTCGCTTCACGGTTGCACTTCGTCACAGTCGCTTCACGGTTGCACTTCATCACAGTCGCTTCACGGTTGCACTTCGTCACAGTTTCTTCATGGTTGCACTTTGTCACAGTCTCTTCATGGTTGCACTTCGTCACAGTCTCTTCACGGTTGCACTTCGTCACAGTCTCTTCACGGTTGCACTTCGTCACAGTCTCTTCACGGTTGCACTTCGTCACAGTCTCTTCACGGTTGCACTTCGTCACAGTCTCTTCAGGGCTGCACTTCGTCACAGTCTCTTCACGGTTGCACTTCGTCACAGTCTCTTCACGGTTGCACTTCGTCACAGTCTCTTCACGGTTGCACTTCGTCACAGTCTCTTCACAGTTGCACTTCGTCACAGTCTCTTCACGGTTGCACTTCGTCACAGTCTCTTCACGGTTGCACTTCGTCACAGTCTCTTCATGGTTGCACTTCGTCACAGTCTCTTCACAGTTGCACTTCGTCACAGTCTCTTCACGGTTGCACTTCGTCACAGTCTCTTCACGGTTGCACTTCGTCACAGTCTCTTCACGGTTGCACTTCGTCACAGTCGCTTCACGGTTGCACTTCGTCACAGTCGCTTCACGGTTGCACTTCGTCACAGTCGCTTCACGGTTGCACTTCGTCACAGTCGCATCACGGTCGCACTTCGTCACAGTCGCTTCACGGTTGCACTTCGTCACAGTCGCTTCACGGTTGCACTTCGTCACAGTCGCTTCACGGTTGCACTTCATCACAGTCGCTTCACGGTTGCACTTCGTCACAGTTTCTTCATGGTTGCACTCTGTCACAGTCTCTTCATGGTTGCACTTCGTCACAGTCTCTTCACGGTTGTACTTCATCACAGTCTCTTCACGGTTGCACTTCGTCACAGTCTCTTCACGGTTGCACTTCGTCACAGTCTCTTCACGGTTGCACTTCGTCACAGTCTCTTCACGGTTGCACTTCGTCACAGTCTCTTCACGGTTGCACTTCGTCACAGTCTCTTCACGGTTGCACTTCGTCACAGTCTCTTCACGGTTGCACTTCGTCACAGTCTCTTCACGGTTGCACTTCGTCACAGCCTCTTCACGGTTGCACTTCGTCACAGTCTCTCTCCCCCCTACTCCCTACTCCCTCGCCCTCGTCACCCCCATTCCTCCCCGTCCCCTTCCACGCAGCTGCACAAGTGGTCGTTGGTGGCAGCGCTGGTGACAGATGAGGTCATAACAGCGCTTTTTTGCTACCCCCTCGTAACCCCTCTTAACCCCCTGTCCCATCCCCTACAGCTGCACAAGCGGTCGTTGGTGGCAGCGCTGGTGACAGATGAGGTCGTCACAGCGCTTTGTTGCTACCCCCTCTTAACCCCTTTAGCCGCTCGTACCCCCTCTTAACCCCTCTTAACCCCTCTTACCCCCCCGTCCCATCCCCTACAGCTGCACAAGCGGTCACTAGTGGCAGCGCTGGTGACGGACGAGGTTGTAACGGCGTGTACCAACGCACCACGGGGCAATGAGCAGTTACGTGTGTCCTCTTGCTTCATGCTTGCATTGCGCTCACCTCACCCTCACTTTCTCTTCCCGAGCTATTGCGTTGCGTTCACTCAAATTCGCACACCACATGCGCGGGGCATTGCAGCTACTATTTCTGTTGCCCCATGCTTCACTCAAAACCAGTGCTCACGGTTGCGATCCCTTCCGCGCCTGCTCTTCCCCCTCTTGACTGTATGTCATCCTTCTTTCCTCATTCTCGACCCCTGCCCTTTCTCATTCATTTTCTCAAACCTTGTCATTTATGATGCTAAACATGTTCCTTACTATTTTTCCTTCCTCTATTCTCCCACCCATCACATGCATCTCCTGCAGGTATGCGGCCGTGTTTGCTGCGTTCATCGCAGCAACGGCATCAACGGTTGGGATCGACTTCGCTGCCAACTTTGCCGCCACCCTTGCCATTCGTTTTGAGGTCAGCCAGCCTTTCAGGTTCAGCCAGGTCGGGGTAAGTAAGTCAGTCAGTCAGGATTGGAAATAAGTACATAACTGATCGTTGGGTAACGGCGTCCTGTTGGGTTTCAGGTGGGCTGTTGCTGGCTGGTTGTGCTGGATTGTTTCAAGGTCAAGGTCTAACTTCTAACCTCTGAGTCGACTCAAAAGTCACGTCGACTCATAAGTCACGTCGACTCAAAAGTCACGTCGACTCATAAGTCACGTCGACTCAAAAGTCATGTCGACTCATTAGTCTGGTTGTGCTGGATTGTTGCAAGGTCAAGGCCTAACTTCTATCCTGTGCCACTTTTGGGACTACACAAGATTGAAGCAAGAATATCTCAAGAACATGCGAGCAGCAGTATATATAAACCACCTAGTTTCGAAAGCTGGCCACAAGCATGATCCTTTTGCCAGGGCAGTCCTTACCGCCTTTTCGAAAGTTTGCAACTGCTGATTTCTGCTGGGAGTTTCTCATTTCGGAATACATACATTCATCATTAGGCGCATATCGCAGCACCTTTTGAGACGTCTCAGAAAAAGGTTTGCCCTGCTGACATGCAACAGATGAAGACATGCAACAGATGAAGACATGCAACAGATGAAGACATGCAACAGATGAAGACATGCAACAGATGAAGACATGCAACAGATGAAGCCATGCAATAGATGAAGACATGCAACAGATGAAGACATGCAACAGATGAAGACGTGCAACAGATGAAGAGCGCAAAGCAAAGCAAAGCAAACTCACCATGCTCGCTCGCTCAGTGAGTGCCATGTTGCGTGCCATGTTGAGTGCCATGTTGCGTGCCATGGTTTGCTTTGCAAGTGGTGTGGTGTGAGTGCCATGTTGCTTGCACTTGCACACCACACCACACCGTCGCCCATCCCCATCCCCATCCCCATCCCCTCCGCCTATCAACCCCATCAGGCTGTGTACGAGGCAGATGAAGAACTGGGCCTGCAGCAAAGCCTCAGCATGCTGCTCACCTTCCTCACTCGCCCACAATCTCCCTGCCACTCTTGCTCCCATCGATCACCCACCCATCACGCTGCGGGGTGTTTTTGAGAATTCTCAAAGACACCCTGCTCCCACTGCCCATCAGGCTGCGTACGAAGCAGATGAGGCACTGGGGTTGCGTAACCTCACCATGCTGTTCAATCGCCCACCAACCCAACTCATTCTCCCCCTTCCCATCACCCCCCATCAGGCGCTGTACGAAGCAGATGAAGCACTGGGTCTGCGAAATCTCACCATGCTGCTCGCCTACCTATATGTCTTCAAGCTGCTTGCTCCGTGAGTCATTCTGACCTTCCAAGCTACTTTTTTTTTTTTTTTAGAATGCGTATGCACTATAACAGATGCAAATACATTCACAGTCGTAACTGGACCTTCCAAGCTACTGAGACGACCTTAAAAAAACTCTCCAGTTTGAGAACCAACCTCACCATGCTGCTCGCTTTTCTATACGCGCATTCAAGCCGCTCGCACCGCGAGTTTCTCAGGTCATTATGAGAGCCAAACTATCGAGATGGCCTTTCGAAAGTCAACCATTTTGGGAACCAACCTCTCCATGCTGCTTGCTCGCCTTTTTCTGCGTCATCAAGCTCCTTGCTTGCGCCGTCCGTGTGACTCATGAGGCGCACCTCAATAGGCATCTGTGAGCACCTCAATAGGCATCTGTGAGGACCTCAATAGGCATCTGTGAGCACCTCAATAGGCATCTGTGAGCACCTCAATAGGCATCTGTGAGCACCTCAATAGGCATCTGTGAGCGACCCCAAGGCACCAAGGAACTTCAGATCTGAGAGTCAGCTCTGTTGGTGTTACTTTTGAGCATGCTCTGTCTGGATCTTCTTCTGTCCCTCCCAGGGCCTCCTCTACTCTTTGTGCCCGCTTTCTTCCCGTTTCCAGCCAACGCTTCCTTCTTTTTAGAACTCTTTGTCGTCCGTTTCTCCCTTCGCTCTTCTCGTCTTTACCGCTCTGTGTTGCCGTGCTCATCTTTGCAGGGAGGTTGCATACTCGTTTTTGGGTCGCCTCACAGATGGATTTAAGGAGCTCGACGTTGCTGCCATGATCCACTTGCTACAGTGTGAGTTCTTTGGGTTCACTAACAGAAAAAAATAGATGGTTTCTCATGTGTCAACTGATGGCTTGCACAGTGATTGCGATTTTTCCCCTGGGCAAAAGCAGCTTGCACAAAGGAAAGGCAAACGTGACCACTTTAGACCAGAGAGCCGCTTTTGAGATTTCTCAGACATCCAGCTGGTGATGCAACGAAACCAGGTGACTTTTGAGTCGACTCAAGAGCCGCTTTTGAGATTTCTCAGACATCCAGCTGGTGATGCAACGAAACCAGGTGACTTTTGAGTCGACTCAAGAGCCACTTTTGAGATTTCTCAGACATCCAGCTGGTGATGCAACGAAACCAAGATCTTTCCACCTTCCTCTTCCCCCCATTATTCCCTCTTCGTTCTCGTTCCATGAAGAGCAGGCAGGCACCCTGGTTTCACCTTCCTCTCGGTTCAGGATCAGGCCTGCCTGCCTGCCTGGCTGGCTGGCTGGCTGGCTGCCTGGCTGCCTGGCTGCCTGGCTGGCTGCCTGGCTGCCTGGCTGCCTGGCTGGCTGCCTGGCTGCCTGGCTGGCTGGCTGGCTGGCTGGCTGGCTGCCTGGCTGGCTGGCTGGCTGGCTGGCTGGCTGGCTGGCTGGCGCCTCTTGAGTCGACTGTGGACTCATCAAGCGCCATGCCACTCACAACACGAAATGAGTCAACATGATGGAGAAACCCCTAATGATGATTTCATTGCCCCATCCTATCCGATCCCATGGCAGCAGCATGTGGGCTGGCCTGAGATCGGATGACCCTGTGCTGCAAAGATGCGTGCATGGCATGGCATGGCATGGCATGGCATGGCATGGCAGCATGTGGCTTGCAGGTGGCATACCCTCCCACAACTCCTCAGGCTCCACCGGGTGGAGAAATGGGGTGGAGTCCACCCCATTTCTCCACCCAACTCCCCCCTCCTCACTGCAGCGTGCGGCCTTGCTCTGAGAGCCGATGACCCTGTAGCAATGAAGGAGTTCATCCTTGCCGTGCAGAGCAGAGCAAAGCAATGAAGCAGACATAACCCCACTTCCGTCTGCTCCCCGCACTGCCATCCACTGCCCTCCACCCCTCCCCACTCCTCCCCACTTCCCTCCCCTCTCCCTCCCAACCAGCATGCGGCCTTGCTATGAGAGCCGATGACCCTATAGCAATGAAGGAGTTCATCCTGACCGTGCAGAGCAGAGCAAAGCAATGAAGCAGACATAACCCCACTTCCGTCTGCTCCCCACACTGCCATCCACTGCCCTCCACCCCTCCCCACTCCTCCCCACTCCCCTCCCCTCTCCCTCTCAACCAGCGTGCGGCCTTGCTCTGAGAGCCGATGACCCTGTAGCAATGAAGGAGTTCATCCTTGCCGTGCAGAGCAAGGCAGCTGACATACGGAGGCAGGCGCAGGAGGCACAGAGTGAGGGTGCTGCTGGTGCAAAGGCAGCGCCAGTGCTGAGCAAGCGGGTGAGTGCATGGATGGATGGAGGTGAGAGGTATGGCTGGGTGTGAGATGAAGGAGTTCATTCTATCTGTGCAGAGCAAGGCAGCTGACATACGGAGGCAGGCGCAGGAGGCACAGAGTGAGGGTGCTGCTGGTGCAAAGGCAGCGCCAGTGCTGAGCAAGCGGGTGAGTGCAGTGCAGTGCAGTGCAGTGCAGTGCAGTGCAGTGCAGCGCTAGTAGCAGGGGCTTTCGGTTCATCCGCTTGTGCCAATCATCCGCCATGCCATCCCTTGCCCTGCCCCATCCCCTGCACTGCACTGCTTACCGTTATCGCCCCAACTCACCCCTCACCCGTAACACCCCTTGATCACCTTCCCACCCCCCACCCCAGGTGGAGTTCGTGCTCGAGACCATCACAGACATCAAGAACAACCTAGCGCCCCATGCCGTTGGTTGTGCTGCCCCTATTTGTCAACCCTTACATGTCCGCGCCATCCCACCCCTCACAACCACTACCTCCCACCTCCCATCACAGGTAGAGTTCATGCGCGAAACAATCACAGACATCAAGAACAACCGAGCGCCTCGTGTCTCTCCCATTGCATTCCCCACCCCGCGCCCTCCCTCCACCCCTCGTGCCATGGCACCCCTTTGTACTCCTCACAACCAGCCCCCCCATCCCAGGTGGAGTTCATGCTCGAGACCATCACGGACATCAAGAACAACCGAGCGCCGCGCAACGCCGGTCGCAGGGGAGGAGGGGGAGGAGGGGAGACCATGCCTGTAGCAGAGGGGGCAAGTGGGGGAGGCAACCTCTCATGCCAACCCTTTCTTCTCCTCACAGCCCCCAACATCACAGGTGGAGTTCATGCTCGAAACAATCACGGACATCAAGAACAACCGGGCGCCCCGTGCCACCCCTTGCACTGCCTGTTGCTGTCACTTCAACTCACCCCCTCTCTCCCCTCACCCCTCATCCATCCCCCATCGCAGGTGGAGTTCATGCTCAGGACCATCACGGACATCAAGAACAACCGAGCGCCGCGCAACTCTCTTCCACTGTATATTATTGTCACCCTGAGTCATCCTTCACCATCCCCCTCTCACCCCTCACCCCTCACCCTTCCCACCCACCTCCCATCCCAGGTGGAGTTCATGCTCGAGACAATCACGGACATTAAGAACAACCGAGCGCCTCGCAACGCCGGCCGCAGGGGGGGCAGTGGGACCATGGGAGGAACAGGGGGAGCAGGGGGGACAGTGATGGGGGGAGGGGGCGCGGCCGTAGGGGGAGGGGGAGGGGCTGCAGGGAAGGGGAAGGGGAAGGGGAAGGGGGCAGTGAGCGTGTTTACAAAGGGAGGGGGAGGAGCAGAGGCGAGTGACGGCAGCACTGCCGTTTCTCGTTTGCAAAAGTGGCTGCTCAAGGTGAGTGCAGTGCAATGTGGTGCAGTGCAGTGTGGTGTGGTGTGGTGTGGAGCGGTGTGGTTTTGTGCAGTTTGATATGGGTGGTGAGCGTGTTTCAAAAGAGAGGTGGGGGAGCATAGGTGAGTGTGGGCAGCACGGCTGTTTCCCGCTTGCAGAAATGGCTGCTCGAGGTGAGTGCGGTGTGGTTGGGTGCGGTGAAGTAAGGTGCGGTGTAGTGTGGTGTGGTGCGGTGAAGTGTGGTGTTGTGTGTAGCGCGGAGGGAAAGTAGGGGGGAAGGGAAGGCGAGTGACCGCAGCACAGCCATCTCCTGCCTGCAGAAGTGGCTGCTCAAGGTAAGTGCGGTGCAATGCGGTATCGTGCGGTTTGGTGTCGTGTGTTGTGTAACTGTACCACAATTAGACGCAGAGGTCGCCACCTCAATTAGGTGCTGTGTTTCTCATCCTCGCCGCTCTTGTTTGTGCAGTGATCTTGTTTATGAACAGTGATCACCCCAATCATATATCCTCCCCCTTCTCCTCCCCTTTCCCCCCCCAGCGTCCAGTCGAAACTGTTCAGCTACGATCGCTGACGTGGCAGCGCCTGATTGACCCGCACAAGCACGGCCAATGGTGGCACACCTCCTCCTCCTCCCAACCCCTCGGCTCCCTACCTGCCACGTCAGCAGCACTGGGGGGCAGCAGCGTCAGCGCCAGCCTGGCGGTCCAGCTGGCGGGGAACGCGCTGCTGGACGCTGCTGACGTGGCGGAAGCTGAGAGGCTGATGCAGCTGGCGGCGGCGCAGAGGATGAACACGGACGCCAGGCGGGCGGTGTTCTGTGTGATTATGAGCGCAGAGGACTATATTGATGCCTTTGAGAAACTGCTGAGGTTGGGTCTACCTGGCAAGCAGGTGTGTTCTCTTGCTTGTGATGCTCCTCCTGTGATAAGTCGATCTTTGACTCAGAGAGGCCACGCCGTGCACGTCTCACAAACACTCTTTGGGTTTGGGTCTCTGTTCTCCCCCTTTTCGAGGCGCCTCAAAAGTCGTCTTGGGCTCTCTGCTCTCCCCTTTGTTCCCTTCCCTTTTCACACCACAGGACCGGGAGATTCTGAGGGTTCTCGTGGAGCGTTGCCTACAAGAGCGTCCTTTCAACTAGTACTCTGTTTCCAAGCGTGCCCATACGGGGCTTCATTTCAACAAGTACTATTCCCTTCTAGCTATGTGGGCACGCTTGGAGTCACAAGTTCAGTCTGCAGTACTGCCTGTGGCACCACCACCACCAGCAGCAGCTCAAGCCTTTACCCCTCCTCCCTCCCTCCCTCTGCCTTTCTGCCTGCCTGCAGGACCGGGAAATCTTGCGAGTACTGGTGGAGTGCTGTATGCAGGAGCGCCATTTCAACAAGTATTATTCCCTTCTAGCGGGGCGGCTGTGTGGGCACGCTCGGAGTCACAAGTTCAGTCTGCAGTACTGCCTGTGGGACCACTACCAACAGCTCCCTGACATGGACCCCCGCCGCTCCCTCCACCTCGCTCAGTTCGCCGCCCAGATCGTGGGCAACCACGCGCTGTCCCTCGCGCTGCTCAAGGTACCGTGTTTATCCCACTCAAGCTAACCCACCACTCGCTGCCAGGCTCGCTACCATTCAAGGTACCCTCGGCTCAGTACGCGCCCAGATTGTTGGCACCCATGCGCTGGCTCTGGCGCTGCTCAAGGTACCGTGTGTTTCCCCTTTGCAGCAGCTGTGATGCACCTCAAACCACTCACCAGGTGCATCCTCTAGGCGACCTAACCCAACCCACCACTCTCTGCCGCTCTCTCCACCTCACTTAGCTCGCCGCCCAGATTGTGCCCCACCCTCTTCCTCCTTCCCTTCCTCTCCCCCACGTGCTCCCGTGCATAGCCTTGCACTTCCGCCTCTTCTTCCCTCTTCTTTCATACCCTTTCCTCCATTTCCCCCTCCTTCCTCCTTTCCTCCCCCTTCCTCTCCCACCGTTTCCTCCCTTTCTGTCCCCATTCCTCCCCCCTTCGCCCGCTTCTTTCTTACCCTTTCCTCCCATTCCGCCCACGCCACCCTCCCACCCCACTCCTCCCCTCAGCCGGTGGATTTCGCGGACCCAGCAGCAATGCACGCGCGCATAGCAACCCACTTCCGCCTCTTCTTCCTCTTCCTCCTCTCCTCCTTCCCCCCCGCCACCCTCTGGTCCCTCTTCTCCCGCATCGCCGCCCCAACCACCCTCGGCCCGCTACGAGACGGAATCCTCCTCTTCTTCGCCGCCCATCTCTCGCCACACGCGCCGTCCACGCGCCAATTGCTACAGTACATCAGGAGCGGGGGGGGGAGTGAGGGTGGGGGGTCAGCTGCTGGTGTGGGGAAGGGAGGGAAGGAGGAGGAGGTTCTAGAAGAGAGGTTGAGATTGGCCAAGAAAGCGATTGCCAACATTGCTGGGACGCCTTACAAGTAGATATTAGGAAGAGCTTTAGTTGGTGAAGCCCTTTCTGCTACTGAGACTGGTGGCTTTCTGTAGAGTGCCAGCTTGGGCTGCTGCTGCTGCTGACTGTCTGTCATCTCCTGCGAGCAGCAGATCGGGAGGAGGCTTAGCAACCAGGAAAAACAGTTGTGGTACCAAAAGCTAGCTGAAAACAGTAGAAAGCCCTTTGGGCCAGTGAGGCCGGTGGCTTGCTGTACAGTGCCAGCATGGACTACTTTTGAGGCGCCTCAAAAGGCTTGCTGTACTGTGCCAGCATAGACTCCTTTTGAGGCGCCTCAAAAGGCTTGCTGTACTGTGCCAGCATAGACTACTTTTGAGGCGCATCAAAAGGCTTGCTGTACTGTGCCAGCATAGACTACTTTTGAGGCGCCTCAAAAGGCTTGCTGTACTGTGCCAGCATAGACTGCTGCTTCTCAGAGGCATCTCCAGAGTTTTCTTCGCTGCATCACTATAATACCGTAGTAACGCGCTGCTCGTTTATTCTGCATGCAGAGCCTGCCTACTGTTACATTTGCGGCATTCCTACTAGCTTTTACCGATTTTTTTTTTATCATCATTATTATATTTGCAACTGCTGCTGCACATGAGTTACCTGTAGGCTGTACAGTACAGGAGATTGTCGCCCATGCTTCTCCATGGGCGGAAGGAGGACAACATGTCTGGCGCTGTGCCTGCCCATGTTCTACGGCATGATACGAGCGCCGCGCCGCCGCCGTCTCAACCTTGTTGAGGCTGCATGGCAGGCCCCACGTTTTCCGAGTAAATTACTCTGTTTCTCTGAAAATCAGAGTCATTTTTGAAAGGAACTCTGTACCTGCTGGGTTTTGCTTTTAAAAGTTTAGTTTTCTCTGATTTATCAGAGTTTTCTTGTAGGCTACTCTGAGCTCTCTGGGGTTTTATTCTAAGGACCGAGTTTACTCTGTACAGAGGATACATGCCCCCTAGCCACCCCCCCCACCTCCCCCCCCTCTCTCCCCCCATCTCCCGAATATCGGGTTTTCCCCAAGTCGCCGAGAACACCATCCAGATTTAGTTCGAGTGTTGGCGCCAATGCCTGCTAGTGCTCGGCTGGCTCACAGTTTCTCCACCCATTTCCCCGATCCATCAGGTGCCTTGCGTACCCCAACATCACAGCCACGCGTCTCCCCACTCTGTTCCGCACCCTGTTCAATGCAGACAACGCTGACGCTGCTGCGCCTGAACCTGATCCCGGCCCGTCATGCAGCTCTCGCCCTATGACGGGTCTGGAGTTTCTGAAAGGCGTAACAAATTACCCATACAGATCATACACCTTAGTAAACTAACATCAGAGTAAAGCAAAATATTACTCTGACGTGCCTGAGTTTTTTTCCCAAAGCATAGGGTTACTCTGACAACTCAGAGTGAGGCGTAAGAACAACCCTAGATTTCAGAGTTGGCAAAAAAAACCACTCTGGAATTCAGAGTACCTAAAATCCAAAAGTAGGCCCTGCTGCATGGTGCCAGTAAGGGAGATTATGGTGCCACAAAATATTCCTGCCTATAGGACGAGGGCTGGGGAGGGAGCGGGGGTTGGAGGGGGGAGGAATGGGGGAGGTGGGGATGGGGGCAGGGTGGGGGACGGGGGGAAAGAGGAAAGGCCAGGGCCTCAGAAGTCAGGATTTTTACCCTGGTTTTCTGATGTTTCGGATGTTTTTTTGAAGTTGTTGGGCTGAGAAAAGCCCTTAGGATCTTTTCAAGGCTAAACTCTTGAGTAGAAGTATTGTATTTGCGGAAGCGTTTTAGTACCGTAACAAGTGTTGAACTACCTTGCGATGGTATGTGAGGGCAAGATAGATTGATTATAGAAAAGTAATACAAGCTTATATAAGATTACAAGGAATATGAAAGGGTGCAACTAATACCGTCATCGCCCGGATATAAGACAGTGTTGAATAGTAGACAGGGGTTGTCTACTATACGGGTGTCTCTTATAAACAAGCTAGCCTTTTTATACGACACCTATTTGTGTGTACGAGTTAAGACATATATGTCTTATAATCTGAGCCAGGGTTTAGGGGTTTTCTTATAAACAGGGGGTGTCTTCTTAGCTAGCTTTCCTACTTTAGGGGGGTACATGCATACAGTCATGAATCTCTACTTCTACCTAACCCCCCTCAGTCACCGCCTCCTCACCTGCACTAACATCAGGCTCTACACCCAGGCCTGGCACTCGCCAGGCATGCCTAGCCGTCTCCCTAGGCTCGATCATGCGGTCAGCCTCGGCCGCCGCTCCGCGGTAGTTGGGGGTCTCCTGGTACAGCACCTCCAGGCCGGTTGCCACGGCCACCTCCCGCACGCCCTCCGCCTGCATCGCCTCCTCCTCCTCCTCTGGAGCCCGACCGAGCAGGCGCGTGTTGTCGCCTTGTCAGAACATATAGCTTTTGCATATTGTGTAGGCTTAAGGGGTACAACCCAATTAGGGTTAGTACTTGTACTCAGTTCATTCATAGTTCATTCATTCTCGTTCTCATTTTCTCATGGTATCGAGCAGGTTCCCCTGTGGGAACTGTGCCTAGGGCCCACCAAATTTCGAATTTTTTTCCTGCCCGAAGCGCGCCCCGCCCGAGTCGCGCTCTCACCTCGTCGAGCCGCCCTCGCGGCTCCTACGCCCTAGCGGCCCTCCCTACCTTAGTGGCCCCGTCGCCCGTTCGTGCGGCCCCGCCACCTACTAGCGTGGCCCCGCCACCCGCATTCGCGGCCCCGCCGCCCTACGTCGCGACCCCGCCGCCCTAACTACGGCCTCGCCGCCCTACTCCTGCGGCCCCGCCGCCCTACTTCGCGGCTCCGCCGCCCTACGTCGCGGCCCTGCCGCCCTACTTCACGGGCCCCGCCGCCCTGTTCAGCGGCCCCGCCGCCCCACTTTGCGGCCCTGCCGCCCCACTTCGCGGCCCCGCCGCCCTGCTTCAGCGGCCCTGCCGCCCGTCTGCAGCGGCCCCGCCGCCCCACTTCGCGGCCCTGCCGCCCTTCTTCAGCGGCCCCGCCGCCCGTCTGCTGCGGCCCCGCCGCCCCACTTCGCGGCCCCGCCGCCCCACTTCGGGGCCCCGCCGCCCTACTTCAGCGGCCCCGCCGTCCTACGTCTGCGGCCCCGCCGCCCGTCTGCTGCGGCCCCGCCGCCCTACACCTGCGGCCCCGCCGCCCTACTTCAAGGGCCCCGCCGCCCTACTTCAAGGGCCCCGCCGCCCTACTTCAAGGGCCCCGCCGCCCTACTTCACCGGCCCCGCCGCCCTATGTCAACGGGCCCCGCCGCCCGTCTGCTGCGGCCCCGTCCCTCTCCCCTCCTGCAGCAGCACGCCCGAGCCGCCGACCGCCGCGCCGCCCTGTACCAGAGGAGCCGAGCCACCCTGCCGCCGAGCCGCTCGGCCGCCCACCAGCCGAGCCGCCGTGCAGCCGAGCCGCCCAGCCGCCGAGCCGCAGAGCCGCCGAGCCGCCCAACCGCCGAGCCGCCCACCAGCCGAGCCGCCCCGCAGCCGAGCCGCCGAGCCGCCCAGCAGCCGAGCCGCCCAGCCGCCGAGCCGCCCTACAGTTGAGCCGCCCGAGCATCCCTGTCCGGTGAGCACAGCCTCTCTGTCACTGCGTGCCCTTCCCCTACTGCTTGCACTGCTAGTCTACCGTCGTCATGGCTACCCCTAGTGTCCTCGCTTTTGACGCAGAGGTTCGAGCCACTGACTTTGAGGTCTGGGTCGACGACCTGCAGCTGTTCTTACAGTGCGATAGGGCGGACGGTCTTTCTCTCTTTGACCTCACCTCTGGCGCCTCTCCTGCCCCTGCTGCTGATGCTGACCCCACTGTTCGCTCTCAGTCGGCCACCCGCGATGCTGCTGCACGTCTTGCTGTGCGTCGCCACCAGCCTACCACTGAGCGCGCGCACTTTAGTCAGTACAAGAGTGCTCAGACCTTATACGACGCTGTAGTTGCGCGCTACTCTTCCCCTGCCACTGCTGCACTGAGCCGCCTCATGCTACCGTACCTCTTCCTTGACCTTGCTGCATTTCCCACAGTTGCTGACCTCATTACGCACCTCCGCACTAGTGACACTCGCTACCGCGCCGCGCTGCCTGTTGAGTTCTGCGCCAAG